AAAATTGTAAATAAATTGCCGCTAATTCGTAATAATACTCTTATATTTTTTACAGCATTTCAAATTCAGGAATCTTTACAAATATATTCATCGGTATGTAGGTATAGATGCACACAAGTTATATTTAATGCATTACAACCTTGACAAGGTTGTATCAAGTGCAATAAGAGCCAAACCCCCGTTTGAATCAGCAATTCACTAATACAAACCATTAAGAGAAACGACTTAGAAACTGGTTTAGAATTTATTTTAAATACGTATTTATACCGGTTCACTTTGACGTGTCTACTAAATATTCTAATACCCTGGAATCTAGTTTCAAGTTAGATAAATTCAACGTTATTCGCACTTTGGAATAACGATATGTTCTTTTTTCTCTCGTCCCCTAGGCGAGTGTAACGTGAATTTTGACTTCAACATTTGTGCTCATGAATAATTTGTTCTGAATGTAACTTTAGATCTTTGACTCTTGTTCACTACTTAGTGTTAGTAATGATCATGTATAGGTACTAATTGTTTTCATAATATAAAAAAGTTTATAATAAAATTAAGCCTGAAGCAGATTTTTTTCTTATTATGAATATATCAGCGTTGGTTTGTGAATACTTAAAGTTAAGTTTAATATACATTACGTCTGAGTATTTATCAATTTAACTACGAATATTATAAGCATATTGCAGTAATTCTGTAATAAGTCATTTAATTTCATTTTTATTATCATTTTTTTGTTTTATAATGTAATAATATGTAATTCTTTGATTATCTATTATTTCCTTCATTTCTTAGCTATACTATATTTTTAAAATCATAATGTCAATAACTTGATTAATGTTGTTATTTAGGTTGTATATAAATGCATACATAAATACAATAAAATATCATTTCAAAATTTAAAGGTTTCTCAGATATGAGATGATGACATCCGACCAGATCAGGTTCAGACGCACCTTAATTTTTTGTCTACCTTCAAACGCGAAACATTTGCTGGACGTATTAAAAAAACGAGTTAATTATGAAAATCGTAAATCGTAGTGGAGACATCGACACAATAAAGAACACGAATTTATATTTCGTACGAACACAGCTTATGCTTCCTAGCAAAGTTACGCAACACGTCCACCTTCCACGTTTCTTCACGGCACCAATGAAGTCAACCGAACTAACCGCATCGTACCAGTTAAATCTGGTTAAGTTAATTTCAAATGACGCATTATTTTAAACGATTTTCTCGGCTACACGCGACCGCGGCGAGATCTGCGGTTGTACGTCTACAACATTTTTATTTATTTTTAATATTTTTTATATCATTTTATCAATTTGCATTTTTGCCGCCGTGAAATAAAAGTTATAATGCAAAAATATCATTTACAACCTTTACTCGATTATAAAATAACCTTTTGAACGGTTTGAACAGCCACAAGGATTATAAATACAAATGTAATCCGTTAGGTAACTTACAGGTAACATATTCAACTCATGAATGTTTCTGGGAAATACATCACATACACTAACAGGCTATATTTAGCACCAGGGAGGATCCGAAGGCTCCGAAACTGCGATGTGTTTCGACATGTAGCAAGCAAACAAACACGTCCTCGCGACAAGTTGCGACACGACGCTTGTAACAATCATTTGGTAACGCACCTCTGCTAAGGACTTACGAAGTTGACGAGAAAACGGCAAACTGTTTATTGTTTTTCTTTACACGCATACGCTACGTCACATCGTGGAAATCACTCATGTAACATGTTACGCTGTGGACATAATCTCAAATGAGTTAACACGGATCGTGTAAGACAGGGGTTTACAACCTGTGGTTCGCGACTAACAAAGGTAGACAACCGTCCCTAATTGAAAATATCTACGACCTTTATTTACATAGTCCACGAGACTACTAAGCAAAGCACTAAGGGATGACGATTGATTAGACCAATCGGTGATATTACTTTGTCATTTATCCCGGTAATAATGTGATGGTGAATTATTTTTACAGTATGAATTTTAATTACAGAATTAAAGATTAATATTATTTCAATATTATATAAAAATCTTATAATACTATATATATATATATATA